AATGATTTCTAATGATTTTTGATGATTTAAAGGTTTCTGTCCGTATATAAAATATTAGTGTCATCAGCAAAAAGATAGAAATTAAGCTCTTTGGAACAGGTACAAATGTCATTGATATACAATAAAAACAATAATGGGCCTAATACGGAGCCTTGTGGAACATCACAAGTCGTTAAGGTTTTTTTAGAGATATGTGAACCAACTAGTGTTGTTTGTGTCCGGTCTTGCAAGTAGGACGAGAACCGATTGTTTATTATTCCGCGAAAACCATAATGGTTAAGTTTATCAAGTAAAACGGTATGATCTACTGTATCGAAAGCTTTCTTTAGGTCCATAAAACACCACACGAAAATAAGCGTCTATCCGTGTTGCTCTGAGTGGTATTAACTCTCAATAATTGCATGTTGGGTTGAACGCTCTTCACGGAATCCGTATTGAGGCGATAAAGTATGTCTTCTTCATTTATAAAAACTTACAATCTTTTGTACATCAATTTTTCAAAAATTCTGTTAAAATTAGACAACAAAGATATTGGCCCGTAATCGTTTGGTTCAGTCTCATCATCTACCTTAAATATGGGTATGATTTTTGGGTATGTTCCAAGTGATATAGAAAGATTAAAGATTTCCGCTAAGACATGACTTAGAAAGTCACTTGCACACTTTAAATTTCCGAGTAGGGCAGGAGTAGAGGCCGTGTGACTTATTGTTGGGAATAGATAATATTTCCAGGCGAATTTCGACCGAAGTGATAGGTTGAAAAAAGAAGGATGGGACGGGTGATTTACATTTCGCTAAGAAGTTTCTAGATAGCTTTTCAATCAGAATTGTCGCAGCCCCTGTGGCCGTTAGGTCATAGTGGCCATACCTCCTGGTAATATTGCGACCAATTTTGTTTGCATTTGTTCTCAACCAACTTAATCTGAAATGTCGTGTAAATTTGATATTTGACGGTCACGATTTGGTACACGTCAGTCATCTACTGATTGTAAGGAAAACAAAGAAACTAGCATATTCGGAAAGATGTTTATTTCGCAAGAAGACACAAATTTGCCGCCAGTATTGCATAACAAAGACCATTCTGTTGACAAGGATATTGAAACTTTTCGACGAATGAAGGTGAATAAAGTTCACTCTATTTCAATTTCGCTTTCCTCTTCATGATCCGAGTCCAAAAGAAAGCGCTTTTGGGGCATGTGCCGATAGAACTCTCACGCTTATTGAAAAAAAATTGTGAACGTTTTCCAGATGCGCCATTTCAATGATCATTCGATTTGCAATCGCTTTCTCGCTAGTGGTGCACTTTTCGAATGAAGCCTGCCTATGCTAATTGTTTCATAACATTAACGGTGTGATATGATTCTAAGTTCTGATTTAATCATTTGCTAAAACACCGGCCTGTCTTGCGAAAATAATCGCAATCGAAACTGTTTTTTTTCCCCCTCATTTAAATTTTTTTTCTACTTGGACAAAACTCTTCTATAATTCCGAGAGGCTCGTGAGTTTATAGAGGGCGTGCGCGAAATATTGATCTCCGTAGAGTATGCATTTACTTGCGGCCAATATCCTCATTACCAGAATGAGGAAAAAACATTTCTGAGTTCTCACAGAACTGTAAAGGACCGGTTTTGGAAATCTAACGTCTACACTTAAACCACGTAAACTCAATGTGTTAGGGGTAACGTTTTTCCCTGACAATTAAAAAAGACAAACAAACAAAAAATCTGAGGATCAAATATCTATCATGCGTGGGAACTTAGACTGTCTTAGTCACTTCTGTGTTATAGTTACCCAGCTATCGTCTCTCTCTGAAAAGTGATCATACACGTTTTCTTTTTCTCATCGAAAATGAGAGGTATCACCGAAAACAACTCGATCACCAATCAGTTCGCTTAAGGCTCCGAAACTGTCAGCTAGAGCACCAGGTAAGATTCGAGGAAACCAGGCTACTTCAACTGTTTTTATTTCTCTCAAAATTCTTTATCTTCAACTTACGTTTCCTTTTGTGATAAAACAAAAGAGTTTACGTTCGAGGGCTTAATATATTTTGGACCCGACTCAGAGAGTCATTTTAGCTAAAATTAGCTTTGAGAGGGGCCCAAAACATATTCATGCCTAATAATAGAAACTATATAACTATGATTACCGTTTTGGAGGGCGTTTTTCACAAATTAAGAACTGATAAAAAAAAAAATGACAACAAAACAGTCTGAGCAATCACGCAAGCGTGCGAGTAGGCTTAAACTGACCCCTTGGCCAACCAAACTCTCCATTTTAGCCTCCAGAATACGTCACAACGCTCGCAACAAGTTTCTTATTACTAAAATCTAATATAACCTTAAGTTTCAACGTTTTTGCTGGATAGTTTATCAATGAATTTTTCTGAGATAAGCAAAACCATTCTTCCAAGCTATTCTGTAAATCTTAATTTGAATTTTTTTCACTTAGAGACCAAGTGCGTACGCAAGATTGGATCTCAAACAAGACCATGAAATATCAAAACCGTGTCTATAAAACGATTCGATATTCATCCACATATGAACTTATTTGCACTGTAAGAACAGCGCATGAGATCGATTAAGTTACAATTAAAAAGTTTTCCGATGACAGATCATATCAAATTCTTCATTCAGCAGCCAGAGAAAACAAAAATTCATGCTTTTATACATTTCCGAAAATTAAATGCCTTGAATCGCTCGGTGGTTTGCGAAATCTAGCGGGTATATTTGTAATAACTGTATGAATAAGGTGAGACCTAATTTCAAGTTGACTGAACAACGATTCAAATTACACTCAAAATTAATTAAACACGTTCAGTTAAAGGATGATAGTAACATTTTATGTCACATTTTAAACTAGCCGAGACAATAATAATTTAACTGCGCCAAGCAGGTTGGGGAGCTAATTGCAATGAAAGTAAATTGAGTGTTAAATGCAGTCCAAAGCCACACGAAAAGTTTATGATAAAGAAACACCAAAATTTTCGACTCCTTACCACAGGTTTAATATCAAAAGTTCAAGATAATCAGCCTTCTTTCCTCACTGTTTGCCGCAACCTTGTGGGGCTCTTTAAGTCTCCTCTCCTGTCTTGTTTGTTTGACTGACTAAATAGGAATTTCATGGTTTTCTTTTTGAGAACCGTCTCGTAAGTAAGTTATTGGATTGAGAAAAGAAAGAAACTTTCACAGCTCCGACGTCCTTTTTTGTACGTTAAGTGAAAAGAATACTCTTTAATAGCTGTTATCTTAAAGCCACGAATATTAAAGGAAAGTGCCATGATTAATCAAAATTATGTCAACAAAGTAGGATTTAGCAATCCAGAAGCGATTTTATATTGCTCGGTAGGTACACGAAGTAAAAGCTGAATGCTTGTACGTATGTGTTTTGACAGCTTCCACTTTGTTTTCGAAGACGTAAATCACACGGCAACAGCTGCCCTCAGGCGAATAATGGACGTCATTCCCTTCGTTGGTCCCTTTCACAACCTCCCTTGGAAACAACTTCTCGATATTTAGCCTTCTAATTCGTTTTTCTTATTGACATACATGTAAGGGACAAATCATCAAGTAGGTTTGTTAAAAAGAAAACTCAGTGACACTGTCAAACTGATATACACGATCGGTCAGCGTTATTGAATATAAGTCATCTTCTAATAGTTGTTTACGTTGTGTGATGTCCATATGGTCTCTTTTCCAAAGAAAGTTTCAGGCAAATTCGCAATGCATGTTTGGACTGATGCAACAGTCAGTCGGTGAAGCCGCGTCGAGATCATACTGAATCGACGTAAATTGTATTTTAAAATTTCATCCATATTTCAATTTCCTTGTTTTATTGCTTGACGCCGGAAGGTTTTCTTTATAAAATGAGAGTCACGGTGGATCACTATCAACCTATCAACTTTCAAATTTATATCCCTTAAACTCAGGAAGGAGGCCTTTCTGCTTATAGCTCACTTTATTTAAGCGAGATCATAGTAGCATTTCCTACCAGCAAATGTTTCTAAAACAAAAGGCAAAAAATATGAATTTAGAGGGGAAGCGAGACATCGCAGACGGCGAATTTGTCTGCTTTACGAATTAAAAGGTTCCCGTAGAGATCGCGCGGGTTAGAAAATATAAATAATCTTGCATTTATCCTACTCCTAAATTAAACATAGTGGATCTCTTGGGACAGAGGGTCTGAAAGGGTATGTAAGGCATCAAACAACGCTCATCAGTGAGCCTATTAATAATGAAGAATCCATTGATAGACATGAAAGTTACATCTGCCCACGGACGCCCACTGAGAGAACAAAGGGATGCGGATATTTAAAAAAGATAAAGCTTAAAAAGAACTTTTTCTTTCTTTTCGTCCTCGCCCTCGGAAGCCAGGATCGGTCATCTTCTTATGCTTCATTTCGATCATACTGAGTTCATACTTGAAGTACACACCACAAAACCTTATTTCTGCCAAGATGCGCAGACACGAAAGGTAAATTCGGCACATATCTCGTATTACATTTTCTTGGCGGAAGCCAAATGTAGACACCTGTTTTCTTTCCATCAAAAATGTAAATGAAATGTAAGGACAACTAAGATAAATTGTTAGCTTGAAATTATTCATCCAAATAGTAATTAAATGCTTCTCCTGTCAATTAAAACGTACACAAATTCCTTAATATTCCAGGAAAGGCCATTAAATAATCATTAAAACCCTTTCTGCGTCACGGTTACAGCTTGGTGTTAACTTTTAATGATTTCGAATAAGATCAATGGTCTTTTAGTGGTATTTTAAATTTTCTTTAGAAAGTGACCTGAGATAGCAACAAAATAGTGGTTTAGAGATCTTTGTTCACTACATCAACTTTATCGTGTCCAAATTTTATCAATAAAGATTTATGAATTGCCCAGATGAGTTGTTTATCACTTAAAAGTCACCACGCGTAATTCATATCGAAATTTAATTCATCTTTGTGCCTTAAACATCTGGCGCCTTCATGTGTGTTGCACGCATAAATTTAATTCTTTTGATAAACATATAAGTGGCATTCGAATAGAGCGAAACGTCAGTACAGCTAGCTCTTGAGTCGAAAAGGAGTTCGTCAGAATTCTCAAGATAGTTCATCAGATGTTTAAGGTACGTGAGACATCTTTCGGTTTAAAAAATTCACAAGAACTTAAAGCCTTAATTTCTTTAAAAACCGTTCGAACACGTAAGCCTGAATCTTAACATTCATACATCGTTCAATTTGGCATTTATCGGAAGCATAAACAAAACAAATGCAATCGCAACCCAGTCCAATATTTTTAAGAGGTTTCCCACACCATAAATTTCATTTAAAGGCTTCGGTACCCAAACAGGATAATATCGCAGTTCTGTTCATTTTGCAGATGAAGTCAGTGGCGTTGTCCATCGTTGTCTTGACAGTAACTGGTCTACTTTTGAGGTTATCACCTACTGCTACTGCAGATTGTCTGAACTGCTCTGATGAAAGGAAGATATGTTTTAATCTTTGCGGTAATGACCAAAAGTGTGTGAATAACTGCAACCAAGTATTTTCAGATTGTCTTACAAGTAACACAATCAATAATTGCAATAGTGTACGGCGATTTCTTCTTCGAGACGTTACAGAAGAAAATGATAAAAACCCGGAGCTACAGCCAGATTACGAAACATTGTTTAAGGCAGTAAACTGAGTCTTAAATTTAACTGAAACAACAGAAAATGAGGATGAGTCTGAGATTCCTGTAAAATGAACAAGGAACACCGATTGAGTTCCGTTAAATGCAATAGCTAACTGTAATACTCAATTGTCTTACTTTTTTCGTGTAAAAGTTGCCATAAAGAAATTCATTAAACCAGGATAACAAATCGTGTTCTTTGCTCTTGGTGTGTAACAACCACTTAATCAGTTGCATTTCAAATTTCAAAACACTGATAAATCAAGCCGTTTCTGGGGCTTACAGAAAGTTTATCATATGATCCGCGAGAACTTATGAAGGGGAGTGGAAACTTATGTAAGGGAATTTGGAAGTATATACATTGTGTCAACACGGTCCGTTCAGATTTTGACATTGGCTAATTCGGCCCCACGAGCTTGTTTTTATTTTTTAGGTTAAGTCTGTACTCTAGCCAAGTCGTCCATCCGGCCGGATCTTATCCCGGTTTCCCTAGCATAATACGACTAGGCGTATTAGTACTCCCTCCTAGATAAAGCTGCTAGTCCATCTCAAGAGTATCCTCTCCCCTGGTTTTTCAACAGCTTGTCCCGGCAATTCTCTGGTACTCATTTCTACTCCTGGGTGAGGGACTGTGAAAGTCGCGATGGCCTAGTGGATAGTTCTCCGGACTTGGGGTCGAGAGGTCTGGGTTCGAGATGTGACGGGGTTGTTGTGTTGTGTTCTGTTTTTGTGGCTATTGCCTCCTCGAGGAGGCAGAGTCACATATATATATGTCGTCAAGATGATAGAGAGTGTAAATGGGTGATGGTCGCAATAGAATTCTGATCTTGAATCAATTTTACCCTGTACTCCTTATTGTTTTTTCGGATTATCTTATAAGTTCGACTTTCAACTTAATACACTTTTTAATTCTCTCCTCTAGTGGTTTTTAGGCTGTAGCCACGTGCGCATTATCTTATCAGTTCTTGCCATCATATTAACTATGTTGCCATAACACTACAGAAGACAGCAGAAGACGATAAG